ACAACAAAATGTTTTCAAATTTCCAGTTTGGTGGCAGAAAGCACCATTCAACAGCACATGCATTAATAGCAATAACTGATTATGTATATAAAGCCCTTGATAATAACAATTTTGTCATCTTCATAGCCTTAGACATACGTAAAGCCTATGACCGCTGTGACCCAGAGGTGTTATTACATAAATTAAGGTGGTACGGGATTAATGAGAAAATTATTGAATCATTTCTAACTGACAGAAAACAATTTGTTTACATGAAATGTAATAATAGATGCTGTTCTTCTGATACGTTACCGACAAATATGGGTGTGGCTCAAGGTCTATGTTTAAGCTGTCTTTTGTTTCTCATAATGATGAATGACCTGCCACTATGTATTTGTAATTCTTTGTGTATAAAATTTGTGGACGATACGGGAATTTTAATCTCTGGTGAAATCGGTAATATTTCTGAAACTGTTAGCAAACTTGAATCTGATTTATTAAATATATGTAATTGGATGAAAAGTAGCAGGCTTGAACTGAATAATGATAAATGCGAAATGATGGTCATTGCTGCAAAAAAACATATCCAATATGTTCAGGATATTAGTGTTAAACTGGATGGAGTACCCATGAAAAGAGTTAATTTTATAAAAATTCTCGGTATTATAATTGATAACGATTTAAAATTTAATTTACAATGTGATAAGGTAGCGGAGAAATGTAACTTTGCGTTATGGTCGCTATATTCATTAAAGGGAGTCCTCGATGTAAGACATAAAATAATGGTGGTGCAAGCCTTAATTTTACCTATTATAATGTATTGTTGTCCGATTTGGTTAGTTGGGAGTAGCAACTTAAAATGTATTAATAATATTTTACGAAGATGTGCCAGGTTTGTGTATGGTAAATCTAAATTTGACAGCATTTCTGATGAAATCATTGTAGATCTCGAGTGGTTAAATGCAAATTGTTGTAAGTTTGAAATGAGTAAAATTGCCTTTAATATGTATAATAATATCGGACCGGGAATTTTCCGGGACTATATTTGTCAAGAGAAAAGAATAGTAAGGGCAACAAGAACTGTAACGTATTCTGAGCCTAACATTATATGTAATGGATTAATGAGAAAGTCATTTCAATATAGGGCGTCAAAAACGGTACTGAATTTACCGGTACGAATCACTGAAAAGTTAAGAAATCTAAGTATAATTGAATTTAAACGACTAGTTAAATGTGAGCTTGTTCATGAACAATGTACCGAGAGAATGGTGGAATTATTTGATATTTTAGACGATCATGATGCACTTTGCTAAATTGTATTATTTATTTTCTTAAATCTATTGTAATGACAAATTTTTTACCTTGAGGCGTAATAACCCAGCATTGGGGTGTCTCATTGAAATAAATAAATCAAAAAATCAAATCTGATAATTCCGATGATTTTTTACACCAAATATGTGTCCCTTCCTTTATGCACAGAAGGCTTGCCTGTCTGCAGTACGTTTTTGTGGTAATGGTTTCTGTTTTACAAATTTTCCACAGATGGGGACATGGCCTTGTGACAGGAGAAAATGCTCAGTTTGTCCTTACATTAATAGTCATCAGATTTTTGTAAAAAACGGGAATACGCATAAAATTAGTGGTCATTTTACATGCAAAACCAAAAACGTGATTTATGCAATAACGTGTACGAAAAATTGCCGTGATGCGATTTATATTGGTCAAACGGCAAGGTCGTTGGCTAAAAGATTTTCCGAGCATTTAAATTGCGTAAAGAATACGGACCTGACTGGCAGCGGGAAGAAGATCCTTAAGCATTTTAACAACAATGGACATTCCAATGAAAATATGAAAGTCCTGGTTTTGGAGTCAACCGTTAACGTAGATGAGTTTCGCCGAAGAAAGCGCGAATCTGATTTCATGAAAATTTTCGAGTCAGTGAAGTGCGGTCTTAATTACGACAAAAGGTGGGTTTATCATAAGAAGAGGAGAGCTTTCGAACAACAGAATGTTAACTTGAGAAATAGTGGTAGACGTTATCAGCATCGGCGAAGGTCAGTGGCCATACAACGGACTTCAGCCATGCATTGGTCGCCGGGAACAGGATGTCCACCTACGCCACGGTCTCCTGCCTTATCGACAAATCCACCTACGCCACGGTCTCCTGCCTTATCGACAAATCCACCCACGCCACGGTCTCCTGCCTTATCGACAAATCCACCTACACCACGGTCTCCTGCCTTATCGACAAATCCACCTACGCCTCGGCCTCCTGCCTTATCGACAAATCCACCTACGCCACGGTCTTATGCCTTATCGACAAATCCACCTACGCCTCGGCCTCCTGCCTTATCGACAAATCCACCTACACCACGGTCTCCTGCAAGTCCAGCAGGGAGTTCCACGTTATTTTCTCCGTTATGGTCCCCAGGGACGCCACAATCTCCTATTTCGTACGCAGAGTTGACACCACGTCAAGAATGGTGGTCCATGCCTGACATATTTTAAACCTTCCCAAAAAGTTATCACACTTTCGCTTAATTTTAAGAGGGTCATAGAATGTTAACAAATTGGAAACGTTACCGAGATGATAAAATACAAATTCTTGCAAAAATAATAATTAAAGTAAGTATGAACAAATGTACAGTCCCAGGATAGACAATTCTTTGTGGAGATAAAATACACACAAAATATATATGCATGCGTGTTAATTCTTTTCATCCATCTTTTCTGCAGAATCAGTGACGTGGATACTTACCTAAATTTATTATCATAGTCAGAGAAGGAGGGAAAAAGCCTAAAAAATCGTGAATCGCTTGGCAAACATTACCATGAATGTACATTCGTATAGCCACTAGTGCTGTGATTTATGGTTCATGCATTTAAGTGGCCCCAACTTATTTTTTATCAATTCGTAAATTACTAATCATCCAAATTGTAAGTAGTCCGATATAAAACGGTTAGCAGGAAAATAAAGCTCACAAGTGGGTAAAAAAATCTGGCTTAAAAATTAATTTTGACTCGAGGACAGGTGCATATTTCGCTCAAATATTTCAGCAACTTTATTACCATGCGAACAACCCCGAATGATCTATTCGAAAGTATTTACAAATTTTAAAATCCTTTCGTGTACACATGCATATGTACAAATGTATGTAGATATTTATTTTAAGTGGCTAGCCCCAATTAAATAAGTATGTAAATAAAGTGCGGCAAAGCACGATACATAAGTAGCGCAAAAATGCTGAGAATGCTGGGTCTTAACCTTAGTCGCCATATTGCGGCATGTCGACAACACCAAAAAAAATGTTTTGCCCAAATTGTGACACCGCGACCATACCCCCTTGCGCCGAGGGGGTGAGGCACAACTCAGATACACGTAATTTAACTGGATTTCATCCAGAGATTAATTTGCGCTATAAATCTCATTTTGCCCGATCACACTGCGACCACACCCCCTGGCGCGGAGGGGGTGTGGTCCAAAAGTTTACGGGATCCTGCCCCTGGGGTCATGTGTATGATGCCGCAAACAGATTTCGATGATCTTGATGCGTTCTCGAGTTTTAGTGCTCACGGACAGACGCACGGACAGACTAACTAACCGATCGCATAAAGTAGCTTGCGCTACTTCATAAACCGCACGTCTCATTAATCAATTATTCCCTCCAGTCATTTTCAGGTCTACATGCTGAAGAAATTTGAGATCTTGGTGATTTCTTTATTACGGATATTCAATATTTTATCTAACCAACACCTTCATCTTGCCATTGTATCTATAAGTGGTTGCTAATTAAGCTACTACAAACACCGAATGACGCCGGGTGGTAAACGATTAATCAACTTTTTAGCAACATTATCAAACTCAAATTGGTCGATCCATAATAAATGACAAATTATTCTTACACAGAAAATATGGCTAGTTTTTTCTCCAAATCCTTTCATAGATTCAGATTATCAACCTTATTTATGAATATGCTATCGTAGGTAAAGTGGGGCGTGACTAATCTCTTGTAAAATTTTATGTGTTCCAAATTCTAAAAATAAATTAGTCTTGTTGTCCTTGCAAGAAGGCTGTGAATTTGTAAATTTAACACGTGAGCAGAGAAATTCGCATTAAATATTGTCTATGAGCAGATTGTTGTGTGTATGCACCAGTGTTTCTTTTGTGAGCACGAAATTATTCGTATGCCTGAACTGTGCATGAAAATACATAAAATGCATAAAAGTGTACGAAAATGCACGTAAATGCATTAAAATTAATGAAATTCATTTCGTGCAGAAAATTTCATATTTTTGAGAAATTTTATATTTTCCTGCCATGTCAAATTTGGTTATTTCATACCTTACTGATTTGCAAGCCTATGACACTATTTCCTAAATTTTAAACTTTTTAAATTTAAATATTTCATTAAAAGGGAAAATCTTTTGATACTAAAAATTTCAATATTACAATATTATTTGCGCTCATATGATTCTTGTGCGTTTTTGTGCATTTTCATGCCCATCTCGAGATTTTTGGCGGGTGTTCTAAAACGTTTAAAAATATTTTCTTGTACTAATTTCGTGCAGGTGTTATTTAACAGCTGAACCACGGAAAATTGTACAGTTCGGCGGAAAAGCTGTGACGAGAACTTACAAACTGTCATGAGTGGAAATTTACGTAGGTCACTAATACTAGAAAATATACTACAACATATCGTCGTACTAATTCTAAAAAGATCTATGCGCACCGGTTTTTTAATTCTAAAAAGAGCTAACTGCCTTTGTTCGTTAATTCTGAAACCAGTTAAGTGCAGCCACTTCTTAATTCTGAAACTAATTAAGCCCAGTCACTTCTTAATTCTGAGACCAGCTAAGTGCACCGTTCACACCATTGGTTCTTATCGTGCACTTAGCTTTTTAAAATTATGCGCTAACTGCACATAGCTGTTTCAGAATTAACAAACGACTGCACATATGCCATTTTAGAATTAAGATACCCGTACACATAGATCTTTTTAGAATTATTGCCACGATATGGATTAGCCTGAGTCACAAATTCATTTATTAAATTATCTTGCAGCGATTTAATCGAATCAACTCCTATAACCATACGAACTGAGCCGGTTGTACAAAACCCAGTCGAACGCAGGCCACACTTCCGTTATGAAACACTTCACAGGCTCCCACAACCAGGGGAGGAGGCACAGAAGGAGAATTTTGAGACAACACCACGCCCACAATTTCAAACACAGGATCCAAACCTTGAACAATTTAAAGAACAGAATCTTCTTCTTCAAAATGATAACTCCTTTAAGAGCAATTAGTAAACTGATCGGGTTGAAACAGGGTAACGGCGGGCAGTAGCAGGTGCAAATTTTCGCGTAGGAATCAGTCGTTGGGATGATCGGTCCTCCATAAACTTCTCCACAGATTGCTCCTGCACCGCCGGGACAGAGGGTGGAACATTGCTGGTTGCACCGTGCCCCAGCCGTGGGGTCGGGGTCGGGTGGGTCAACGGATTCGGGGGGACACCGGTCACCAAACCGGACGGAAGGGGGCTGAAACCAAGAAAATTTGTTGGGTACGTAAATAAAGAGTAAATTTTGCAAATTTGTGAAATGGACCGGTTTTGCCAAAAATAGGGAAAGATAATAAGCAGGAAACCATAATGATAATGTTGTATCAAGCTGTTCTTACATTAGAAAACATATCGCAAAATTTTTTGCAAATCTTCTCAAGTTAATGCTTCGCATCGTAAAGACCATTGCGCATTTTGACCAGGTAATTTCACACAATTGTTGAAGGTTGAGAATTGTGATTTTCGTAAGTGTACAATTACAATAAATTGTTTTCAATAGTTATTTACATATTCCAACTTACGGCCGTTCCACAGGGTCGATTACACTGACAGATCCCACTCGCCGTACAGGTGGCCGTGTTGGTCATGTCCTCCACCAAAAGATCGTACCCGCACGAGTGATAGCAGAAAGAGTGGCTGAAGGTGGCAGAATTCAGGGCATGATCCTGTATCAAGGGATCTGCACAGTCACGGATAAATCGTTGGCCAAAAACCTGACAAATTAAGAAAAAAATAGTAAAATTCACAACAAATATCAAAACTGAAAAATTCAGATAAAATAGCAAAATTCACAAAAAATATCAAAACTGAAAAATTCAGAACAAATTGTTAAATTCACAAAAAATATCAAATTGACAGAAAATATCAAAACTGAAAAATTCACAGAAAATATCAAAATTCACAAAAAAATCGAAACCGTAAAATTTAAAAAAAAATAGTAAAATTCACAAAAATATCAAACTGAAAAATCAGAAGAAATTGTAAAATTCACAAAAAGATTACAATCTTTAAATAAAATTATTTTTAATAAAAAATTTTTTTACTCACGTATTTTCCCAGTAGAGCAAAAAGGATTGGCACGAATTTACGAGGAAACATTTTGTCGCAAAAATATTTCCATCCCAATCCCACCACGGCGGCGTCATAGCGTCTGACACTTCGTGCGGTTGGTGGTCTAATGACTGAAATCGGAAGGAGTTCATATTCACCTGCGAAAGATGAGTATGTAGCTGCAAAATTAGTAGAAGCGAATCCAATCAAGCCATATCTTAAGGCTGATATCTATTTGTAAATCAATCGTGAGATGCAAGGAGGGTGAAAAAAAGAGGCCCAACAATTAAACCCGATTTAAATGCAATTGCAGTCTCACGGTGTGTGCAGATATTTTCTAACAATGCATCATCTCCGCTTCATTACGACCGACTTTGTTATATGGTGGAATTCTTCACGCTACGAGTTTCAGTGATGATGGATGATGGATTGTTGTGTGTTGTGACTCGATACACATTAACGTATTAAATTTATTTACCGTGTAGGATTGCATTTTGGTGACGGTTGATACCCAGTCTGAATATGTACGATAAATGATGTAGGCTGGTTAAAAAGTACCTAAATCGTTGTCATGATTGGCATTAATTAACGTGTTTTAATTAAACATGGTGTCCCCCATACCATGCATTTCGGTGCCACTTGTGTACATATGTCCAAAAGTAGTTGAAATCATTATCATTACAAAGACTGTAATAAATAAGACGAAATATTTATTAGGGGTATTCACCACATGTAATAAATTTAGTCAGTGGTAATCGTAAATATGTTGTTGGGCAGCGACAAGAATTTCTATCAGTAGTATTTCCGTAATAAAACGAATTTCAAGAAAAAAAGTTGAAAAACTTCGCTCCAAAAACAATTCCTGGATTTATCCCAATCCCAATTAATATAAATTTGTGTAAAATTGCCACTAACGCAACTATTGAGTAAAATTTAATATGACAAAGGTAAAATTTACTCAAGGCTGAGGAAAAATCTTTCAAAGTTGGATAAATTTTAACTTTTATTGGGCAAATTTCACACAATAGTTGTGTTGGTGGAAATTTCACTCAAAATTCAGTAAATATTAGCCAAATTTGTTTATGTAGTGTGTGCATAATATTTTTTCTGCAAAGCATTTAGAGTGATGAAATAAATACCTACTTAAGTTGTTAAAAATTTGAAAGAATTTTAAAAAACAACAAATAAATATCTTGCTGCGGTGAATACCCCGATTTTGATTCTTTAATTGACTTTCAGTACGCAATTCATCCCCAAGAGCGGATCCGGATTCACTTTTTACACGAATCCAATCACTCTGAAAGATTTAGTTTTGTGTGAAATTATTCAACAACGCAATGTTCATCACCTACTTCAGTAATTATTTTAATGTCACTCACACCCACGGACCATTAAAAAGTACGCAATTGGCTCATACATAATATTTAATGCGAATTTCTCTCCTCCTTTGTATTAAATTTACACATTCATAGCCTTCTTGCAAGGGCAACATGACCAATTTATTTTTAGAATTGGAAATACATAAAATTTTACAAGAGATTATTCACGCCCCACTTTACTTACGGTAGGATTTTCATAAATAAGGTTAATAATCTGTATCTACGAAAAGATTTGAAAAAAACTAGCCATATTTTCTGTGTCAGAATAATTTGTCATTTATTGACAATTCTGGATTTAAATCTTATTGAAAATAGTTGGTGATATCTATCGCGTCAAGTTTATGCCGAAAGTCTACAGTATTCAGCAGTTTCGGAAGTAAAACTATGAATCATTGATGTGTGGGATTCAATGCCAATCAGTGTTATTTATATGCACGTGGGGTTGATGAAAAATCTTATTTTTCGTGTAATCAGCAAAATCGGTAGTTATGCTGAGTATTTATGCTGACCATAAATGAAAAAGTTCAAAATAAATCCTCCAAAGACCAATAATTCGAAAAGTGTCCTTGTTTTAAGAGCCACCTGATTTTGAGATATTATTAGATAATTAGTGCGCCGATGCAGTAATTTGTCATTTATTAGAGGCAGAAGAATATTTTTGAGTTGGTCTGTATATTTGTCCTATTAGCTTCCAATCTACGGCTGTGTTAAATTCTGGAGAATCGAGATTTCTTATCTTTCTGCCCATGGACCCCCAGGGAGTGGTCCCGGACCCCCCAAAGTATATATATTCTGAATCCTCTCACCGAGACCTTACCAACGATACCCCATATGTGGGGTTATGTGAGACTTTATCTCCCGATTTATCCCGGTGGCCTCTGAAACAAGGTCACGCAGGTCGATTTCGACCTACCGGTAATTTATCTATGTTCGGTTACTAAGAGTCAATAACATACCTAAATTTGAAGCAAATCGAACCAGCGGTCATTAAGAAAGTTAGCATTAAGGGCACTTTGTCGCAATTTCGACCAAAGTCGGTCTTCCTACAAAGTACCCTTCATTTTTTAGCTAGGAGGTCCAGACCACCGGCATTGGACGCAGAATATATGGTTTCTGTACGGTTTTGAAGTGGGATAGTTACCATTTAATAAACATGGAAAATATTTAGAAAAAACGAAAAAAATGTCGAAATTTTCAGGTCAAGGGCATTACAGACTTTGACCTGGGGACTTGATTTTTGCTCACACGAAGAACGACCCCAAATGAGAGGCCCATGCCAAGTTTGGGAAATCTATCTTCTTTGGGGGCGGAGAAAAAGCTGAACTAAGCTAAATGACCTCTGGGGGCAAGGGGGTGGGGTAATTCGAAAAAAAAATATTTTTCTGATTTTTTTTGGAGCATTTCCAGACTATTCCCGTTACTCATTTCCAATTCAAGAAATGTGAGGAAATGTGCTTGTATACCTATACCAAGAGTCCGTCTGGTAATAAAGAAATCACAAAGATCTCAAATTTCGTCTGCATACATTGATCTGAAGGTGACGGGAAGGAATGATTGATTAATGAGACGTGCATTTTAGTTACATACATACTTATTTAATTTGGGCTGATCATTTAAAATGTTATACTTGACATGAAAGGATTTATTAAATACTTAATAAGTATTTATTAAATATACTTATCTATTTGTTTAATTTATTAAATCTTCAATTTTATTAATTTAAGTTTTTTTTACTATTTTTTACTAATTAATTAATTTTAATTAATAATTTTATTTTAAAGCTTTAATGAATTAAAACTTCAATTTAATTTATTAAATTTATCTATGTATTAAATTTATTAAATCATAAACCTGTAAAACTACATAATATGCAGTTTGGCATGTTTATTTACTAGTCTATATACTAGTCTAGTTTATAATTTAGTCTATCTGCCTGTCCGTCTGTCAATACGATAACGGGAGAATAAATCGAAATAATCGAAATCGGTTTGCGATATCACACGTATGACTCCACTGGGTGGAAAATGTGGCTATGAGGATGATATATGTGTCGGCAGTGCGCAGAGAGTTAGGAAAGTTGACTAATTACTTGTGTTAAAAAATAAATCTAAAATTTCGAAACATTGGAATGCAATATCTCGTTTTTGTTAATTATATAGATATAGATATATGTTTATATTTTGAAATTGTATATGTCTATTTGAGCTGACGATGGCGACGTGTTGCTTTATTACCAATACTTTCTCGTAGTACGCACAGTTGTTGGGATAGTTACCCTCGTGGTTGTCGTTGGGACTGTTGTTGATGTCACAGGAGTTGTCGTGGTAGTCGCTGGAGCTGCCGTTGTTGCAGGGCCGGCGGTTGTCGTTGTTGCAGGGGTTGCGGTTGTTGTTACAGGTGCAGCGGTTGTTGTTACAGGTGCAGCGGTTGTCGTTACTGGCGCGGCGGTTGTTGTTACAGGCGCTGCGGTTGTTGTTACAGGCGCTGCGGTTGTTGTTACAGGCGCTGCGGTTGTTGTTACAGGCGCTGCGGTTGTTGTTACAGGCGTTGCGGTTGTTGTTGTTACAGGCGCTTCCGTTGTTGTTGTTGTTGTTGAAGGGGCTGCGGTTGTTGTCGTTGTTGCAGGAGCGGCGGTTGTTGTCGTTGTTGCAGGGGCGGCCGTTGTTGTTGTTGTTGTTGCAGGCGCGGCGGTTGTTGTCGTTGTTGCTGGGGCGGCCGTGGTTGTTGTCGTTGTTGCAGGGGCGGCGGTTGTTGTCGTTGTTGCAGGGGCGGCCGTGGTTGTTGTCGTTGTTGAAGGGGCTGCGGTTGTTGTCGTTGTTGCAGGAGCGGCGGTTGTTGTCGTTGTTGCAGGAGCGGCGGTTGTTGTCGTTGTTGCAGGGGCGGCCGTTGTTGTTGTTGTTGTTGCAGGCGCGGCGGTTGTTGTCGTTGTTGCTGGGGCGGCCGTGGTTGTTGTCGTTGTCGCAGGGGCGGCCGTGGTTGTTGTCGTTGTTGCAGGGGCGGCGGTTGTTGTCGTTGTTGCAGGGGCGGCCGTGGTTGTTGTCGTTGTTGAAGGGGCTGCGGTTGTTGTCGTTGTTGCAGGAGCGGCGGTTGTTGTCGTTGTTGCAGGGGCGGCCGTTGTTGTTGTTGTTGTTGCAGGCGCGGCGGTTGTTGTCGTTGTTGCTGGGGCGGCCGTGGTTGTTGTCGTTGTCGCAGGGGCGGCCGTGGTTGTTGTCGTTGTTGCAGGGGCGGCGGTTGTTGTCGTTGTTGCAGGGGCGGCCGTTGTTGTTGTTGTTGCAGGTGCTGCGGTTGTTGTTGTTGTTGCCGGAGCTGCCGTGGAAGTTGTCGTTGGTATAGTTGTGGTAAAAGACGGCAGTCCTGTAATTGACCCAATTGTCGTTGCAGGTAACGTGGTAGGAATCAATGTTGTCACAACAGGGGGGAGAGTTACTGGTGCCAATGTAGTTGTCGTCGTCGTGGAAGTTGTCGATCCACCGCATTGGCAGGGGGCACTAGGCGCATAACATGCACATGTCTGCAAATCATTCGAGCATTCCGAGTTAGCAATGCCCAGCGCTGAACACCAAGTTTGACATGGTGTCAGACTACATCCAGCAGCAACCTTGAAAAAAACGTAGTCGTTTGTACCCACTTTTGCTGCATAGTATTCATTTCCGTTCAGAATTCCTGTGTAGAAAAGTAATTATTTAATTAATTATTCATTTCGCTGATGTCGAAAAATTTTTCACGAAGGGTAATGTCGTTTAGATTTACTTTAACCCGTTAAGAACCAAGCACACACACTTGTCTACTTTTCTGCTTTCCGCTTATGACCAAGTACACATATTTGTGTCGTTTTAAATTTTTCGATGACAACAAGAAACCAAGGCAAAAATTGAAAATGGGAAAACTTCATTGTCAAAAGTGGTATTCTTGTTGACTGTTTCTGCAAAAAAACTGAACTTATCCTATACAAACGCCATGTAAAAAAGTGGAGTTTTCGAGTTTGTCACTGATTTTTTCATATTTTTGAGATTTGGCATCTAAAATAAAGTGGTAGCTAAAGAATTTTTGTGGGAATTTTTGTGGGAACGAAGGGGTTAACGTAAATCTATATATTTTTTACCTGTAGTTTGTGATACACCTGTTCGTGTCAACCCCAGTATTAAGAAGGACATTAAAAGTGTTACCATTTTTGCTTCCGTAAAGCTTAACTAAATTTTTCTTTGCTAACCGAACTAATTGAATCTCTCCAGGTTAATGGGCACCGATCCAAATTCATCACGCCATCAGGAATTTCAAGGTTCACCATACATACATAAAACTAACCATTGATACACAAATATTTGTGGTACGTGTCGATACTTATTGTAATCACAGCTGCGTGCAGCAGTTGCTTGGTGACGTGAAATTATAGAAATTCAAGGAATCTATGAATTAAACTTATACACAAAAGACCTTTATTCAGTTGGAAAATGTATTTCATACAGCATGTGGATTAAAGTAAATAGTTTTATGATTTATGAAATTCTATTATATAATTACGTTTTACTGGGGGGTGGATTCTATTACATGGTAAATGTATTCGAAAAATGCTTACACCTTAAAAACTCCTACATATCACTGGATTTATTTAATGATGAGTATATTTATATCCGGGTTCGAAAACCAATTTCAGTTTTGGTGGACCGAACTTAAATTTTTATGTGCAGACTTTCTTGTTTGTTCTTAATCTTTGGATGGCATTTGCAGCGAATTCTGTAACTGCTTTGTGCACTTCGCAAAATATGCTGTTACTCTTTATTAAATTACATACATATTTACATATGCCTACGGTGTATATATTTAGTGATTTGAAAATATTTTTCAAAATTCGAGGGGGGGGGGGACGGAAGCAGATATGAGCCAAAATGTGTAACTTTTTGTTGTTAATTTTGAGATATTGATGTTTCAAACTAACGCTTTGCTTTTGTGTGACTCGACATAACTAGAAAACTTATGTTGACTAGAATCTTGCCGCTGTGTTCATTTCTGACCCCAGTTACCAATTTGTTGAGTATTGTAAAATAATTGCATTTACCAAATTAGTTTCATTTTCCCAATTCTTGTTCATTCAGAAATACTGGAGCAAGGGAATTCTCGTGAGGCTAAATGGCCGACCTCTCCATAAGTAATAACATGTGGATTTAACGGTCAGTTGTTGATTGATTTTCAAAATGGCCTACTTTTTGGAAACCTTGAAGCCTTGAGTGAAATATGCATTTTCAAATTTTTAGCCCGAGTCAGGGCTTATGGAACCGTCATGTCCGTCCGTCTGTCCGTCTGTCCGTCTGTCCGTCTGTCCGTCTGTCCGTCTGTCCGTCTGTCCGTCTGTCCGTCTGTCCGTCTGTCCGTCTGTCCGTCTGTCCGTCCGTCTGTCCGGCACGATAGAGCCAAAACGGCTGCACCGATTGACTTGAAATTTTTACCACATGCATATTGGACAAAATTAGGAAACGAGTTCGAAGATGAGCGAAATCGATCAAGTGGTTGACCGGTGGGGGTCGCCGAGATGGGTGGGGTATTATGCACCAAAATTTCAAACTTGTCGTAGAAAGCTGAAATTTGGTACAGAGGTTGCTAATGGCCTCTAATGGAACAATGTGAAGTCAAATTGGAAAAATTTTTGTCCGGAGGGACCCTATTGGGATACAGATTTTTCAAAATTGTCGTATTAAGCTGAAATTTGGTAGAGAGGTTGCTTATGACCCCTCACGGAAAAATTTGATGTGAAATTGACAAAATTTTTATGTCGAGTGACCCTATGGTGCAACCCATACCGGTTTTTAAAAATTGTAAGATGAAATTCGGAACGGTGATACGCAATAGCTTCTAATGAGAGAATATGAAGCTAAAAGTGAGCAAAATGTAACCAGAGTGACCCTAGGAGGTGACCCACACCGTTTTTTAAAACTTGCTATGTTCAGCTGAAATTTGGTACGGAGGTTAAAAATTTGTTATGCGTAGCAAGTAAAGCTTTGGAAGTTCAATAATTGAAAGAAGTGAGCCCTACTTGCCCTACTGGTGATGGGGAACGATTCGTAAATATTTCAAAAATTAGGTGTTTGGTAATATAAAATTTCTAAGAAACATTTGACCATCCACACTATAATATACTAGGGGGTGGTAATAGTAGTCCGGTCAAATTGGACATAAGTTTAGAAGCGGAGTCTATCCCTGACTCGGGCTAAATGGAGTCTGCACTGTAGGTTTTTGAAATTCGGCCCCTCTCCCTCGAAATCAAGGTTACAAGGACCAATTTTGTATTGAATTCAAAAGTACTATGACAGAACTTGGCGCTAATTCTTGTCGAAAATGTTTGAGATAGTCAGGTCATCATACGCAAGGATTAGTTGGTCACATCAGCTGCTCTGGAGCCATTCTGGGAGTGATCAGGAAGCAAGTCCGAAGAATAAAAATAAAAATAAATATACTCTTTCGGCATTAAATTTTTAAAAAAATGGTAGTTATCTGGGAGCGGTGGTCTAATGATGGTTATCTGCGAGCGGAAATTATTTGACGTTGCTACAGAATTTTCTTAACGTTGCTAAGGAAATTATTTGATGTTGCTGAGGATTTTTTAAAATGTTGTTAAGGAATTTATATCCGCTGCGGATATTTCGCAGCGGGTGTTTTGTCCATTTCCTTAGGAAATACCAATGCTAATTCGAGCGTATAATTTGTTATGAGTGGCGAAATGTCCTATTTCCCGTCATAAACCATTTGCTTAGAACAATAATCCATTGTTCAAGGCAATTTGATAAAACTAACCAAACATCCTGTGTTTTGTACGCATTCAAAAAATTCACTTGTGAGTACATAGAAGAGCTCCATGAAGATTTCAAATTTTCCGGAGATGAAAGTACTAGTCGTTCTTGCGGTGCTGATTTCAGGTAAAATACGCCAAGTTCCGCCAATTTAATAACAAAACGGCGACATAAATATTTTGGGAAATATAAATTAATTGAAAAATCTTAATGCGCACATTTTACTTTAAATTGTGATCAGTAACACGTCGATGTCTTTTATAATATTTTCCGTGCAGGCAGTAATAGACTTGTATACGAATTGTAGGCAATTTTACTAAATATTTATGTAAATATGTATCCATTATATAAACAAGTTTCGTCTGAATGTTACAGCTTCCCAAGCAAGTCCTGGGGCAAAGTGCGTGTGTAAAAATGGCGACGACGTATTAACCGGGCGGCAGTGTGGCAAAGAAATCAACCGATTGCAAGGCAACCCTCCCGTCAGGAAACGAAGGGTGAGTTTCAGTAATTTCTGCCGTTTAAGGTAACCATCGACGAGTCATTCCCGTGTGTCTCATTCCGCCCCATGTGGCATGTTCTCTTATGGAGAACTTACAATTTATATTTCGCCATTCATATTCAATGAAATTGCAATGTTATTATTTTAAAGAATTCTATATTTTTAATTGGAAAAATTCATCTCAACAGATTTTTTGGAAAAAAACTTCCTTCCTTAATAATTTGTTGTCCTTTTTTGGAACGAAGTTTTTTTTAAATCTGTTGAGATGAATTTTTCAAGTTAAGTATATAACATTGCAATTTCATTGAATATGAACCGCGAAATATATTGTTTAAGTTCTCCATAAGAGAACATGACACATGGGGCGGAATGAGACACACGGGAATAACTGGTTATCTTAACCGTTCTTCAGTTTGTTTTACGAGACATCTCAAAATTTTGAAAAGCTTTTGGCATTGAAACTTTTGTACATAAAACCTGAAGATCTAATCACCCGGCGTGGGGGATTTAAATAATACGTTATAAGTACAATTAACACAATATCAAAATGGTTACGTACAGGGAGCAGCTATGGATACGGATTACGATGGTGAGGAATGCCACCTAGATGTAATTTACGAGTGCCCAAATCCACCAGATGCAACAACGCCGGCGAAATATGCGGAAAATTGTATCGCACTCATTGAGAATCATTATTCATGTTCGGACCAGGATGGACACGGATTCTGCCAATTTAGTTCATCTCAAGGCTAAATTTTCGGCCCAAATGAAGGCTCTAAGATATTACCCGACAAACGGAATAAATTGTAATAATAAGATTTAAAAGAACATTTAAACCTGGGGAGGAATTCAATTATAATTTGCGCAAAGCGTAAGCACTGATTTTGAACCAAAATTTAGACTTACGCCGTGCGCAAATTACAATTGAATTCCTCCCCTGGTGAACAAAAAATTAGCTTTCACCAGTTTTAAGGTAGCACGGAATTTGCCTTATTAAATTTAATATTTGCACATATTTAAATATATCTGCTATACAGCATTTGCTTCTTTGTACATTTTCATCACCGCAATTCGACAAACTGAGGCGCTACATCTAATCAACATAACGTCGCACTAATTCTAAAAAGATCAGTGTTTCTTAATTCTAAAATGAGCTATGTGCAGTCACTTCTTAATTCTGAAAGCAGCTGAATGCACCGTTCACACAATTAGTTCTTATGGTGCTTATGGTAAAATGACATCGGCCAGAGATATTCCCCAATGCAGAACAAAGGTCAAAAGGTCACTAAATCCAGGTTTTGTGATGGGTTTGGCAAGTGAGAGATAATTGAGAATTCTCATTATTTTCGTATAAATATTTATTACGACAAATCATCCGGTTGTTTGTCATGAAATTTACTGCGAAGTAGTGGAGGTTATCATGTTCATATTTGCAGATTTTTTTTCGTCCAAAACTATTAGCTGTCACGGAAAAAGATAGGAAAAACTGGCAAGAATAGTTTTTACCGTCTAAAACGGGAAAATATGCTGCAAAAATTTCTCTAATACTTAGTATTTTCCTAATCGGACTTCATATTCGTCATCTCGAGAACATTTTGCTACGTAACGCGCGCACTTTCAAACAGTTCTGATTATTTTTCATGTCAATCTTGTAGATTATTAACGCAGCCGTATTATCAACTTTTTTCTTAGAATTTAATGGAAAATACGAATACCTATAAAGTCAGATTTTAAAAATATTAAGTTGTGTGGAATCGCCCCAAACGCAGAGTTTCTCCCACTTACTTTAGTGGGTGGTAAAAAGTGCCTTTTTGTCCACTTTTTCCTACTGCTCTGTTCAATTTTTACCAATCGAAACAACCCTGCATACTTACAGTGTTTGACTTGTTTAAACGTCACGAATTTGGTAATTAAGTTCGTGAAATTAAAATATGAAATATAAGCAATTTTAAAATAAATAAATATTTAATTATGATAATTTTTTTAGTTGGCTAAAACTGAAAATCTGTTTTTACACCGGTTTCACAATGAATTAATAATGCCTGGTCTGCAATTTGCATGAGAATTCATGAATCTAGGACATTTCAGACAATGGAAATGTGGTCTACAATGAAATATTCATTTGCGTCACTCACACTCACATTTGTTCACTACAAAACCGGGTCATGTTGAATCGAGCAGTCAGTTAGGAAGAGGATTTCGTATAATTTCCACTTTTTAAGTATAATTTTACTCTGGAGTTTTGTGAAAAAAATTTAGCTGCAAAGATGAAATTGTTACAACCCGTGGTGATTTTTCTTTTGGTCCTTCTGGTAAATGCATATTCCTAATTTACACTTTTGGTCATCTTGTACACTCCAAGAAATCCAGTAGCAAAACAACCTACTCCTCATTTCCTTTAACAAAGTGGTATTTATGATTAACAGCTCGGTATTAAGGATTAATATATAGGCAGTAAGTTTTACCGGACCGGGGTAATTTTAATACGAAGAGGTAGAGCAACTTTAATAACGAGAAATCAATACCTACGTGACCATACAGGTTTTGTAACATAGCTGGTAATACATTGGTCCAAGGTCCATCTAAAAAATGGTCCGTGGTCCATCGACGGACCAATTTATTGGAGTCCATTGTGCAAAATGGACCATTTTGATCCCGTGAACCATATCGTCGTCCTAATTCTAAATTGAGCTAAGTGCAGGGAATGCTTAATTTTAAATAGAGATAAGTGTAGTCAGTCCTTAATTTAAAAAAATCTAACTGCACAATAAACACTATAGTTAAAACAAGTGCAGTTACCTTCTTTTAAAATTAAGAACTGACTGCACTTAGCTTTATTTAAAATAAAGTTTTCACTGCACTTAGCTCAATTTAGAATTAGAACGACAATATGCCATTGTGAGTTATGATTCTTAAGAGTGTACTAACGTAGCAACTAACTTAATTCCAGGGGAACGTCCTTGGACGGGGAATAATCGGCGATGGGGACACGCCGCTTACTGCTAGGGTCGATGACCTCGAGATGATTCCAAGCCAACCTGCGGAACAAAGATGGTTTGGCAGGTGGTGTACTTGCGTCCATGGAAGATGCCAGACAGGGACCTTTTTCCCCTGGACGAATAATGGTGATGTCGATGGATGTTAAAACTATCTTGATTTTAATAAATTTCACAAGAAATTTGTATCCGATTTAATTTTATGTAATTTGTCATGCTTGAAAGTGAATAAATAAATAACTTCCTGCCTAAATTATTCCATTTGTGCGGAAACAGGCTTCCGTATTAATTACACTCTTATATCACTCAACGCGGTGTTGATATGTGACTTTACCATCTTGGTATTGATTTGGTAATAAATTTACAAAATTAATACCATATATATGGTACAAAATTTAATATCACCTAGTAATAAAATGATTACTGCATAGTATTATTTCATTACCGAATCTATACCAGGGTAGTCAACCGTTTAATACCAAAGCGGTAGAGTCACATATCAATACCGCTGATTTTTTTAATACCCAGTTTCTAAGAGTGTATGGCCCATTAATTATGTCGTCAAAATTCAACTGCTTCCACCGTTAGAAGATGCTCCTAATTTTACGCTGCATCTAAACTTTCTGCGAGGAGAATCAAATCCTCGGAAACGGCAATCTTCATATAAAGTTAAATTCTGTCCATAACCCGTATTTTTCGACGTTTCCAAGGTTTATTCAACCTGACTTTATTTATCTTCTGAATTAATGAATAATACATAATAATTGACATATGTAATTTGTTAATTTACTTTACTAGTTTGTCACAAATTAATGATGGTTACATCGTCGACTAAATTTATTTCAGCACTCTCAGCCGAATCCTACATGAATACGTAGTTATGCAGATTTTCCTACAAATTGATTGACAAGAATGGTAAAAAATGGGTTGGAGTATGACTTAAACTTGTCATCTTTTGGACCTTGCCCTTTCCCCGTTCCACTTCCGGGTTCAATTGGAATAGCTGATTTCTCTGATCCCGTCGTGACTTTTGTTGGGGTTGATGGTGAAAGAGTTGTAGTCGTCGTCGTAGTTGGTGTCGTTGGTGGATTATTCTCGGACAAGACTTGCTGCAAGAGTTGTTTTATAGCAACCACACTCCAAATGGGGACACTGATTGGTTTAGCTTCTTCCGTGGTTATGGTTACAATGTCGTGTCCTCTATCTGTATAACGGAGTGGGCCGGTGTCAATGATTACCGTAGCCACTTCCAGAGGTGGTGCGACGGAGATAGCAGCCGCTGTAATTTTTGTGTTGGGTGACATGGTGACCGTTGTCGGTGAGGTGACTCTATTTATCGTCGCAGCTGGTGTAGTTGTCGTGGGTGTGGTCGTAGTAGGTGTCGTGGGTGTGGTCGTAGTAGTTGTCGTGGGTGTGGTCGTAGTAGGTGTCGTGGGTGTGGTCGTAGTAGTTGTCGTGGGTGTGGTCGTAGTAGATGTCGTGGGTGTGGTCGTAGTAGGTGTCGTGGGTGTGGTCGTAGTAGGTGTCGTGGGTGTGGTCGTAGTAGGTGTCGTGGGTGTGGTCGTAGTAGGTGTCGGGGGTGTAGTTGTCGTGGGCGTGGTCGTAGTAGGTGTCGTGCGTGTAGTTGTCGTGGGTGTGGTCGTCGTAGGTGTCGTGGGTGTGGTCGTAGTAGGTGTCGGGGGTGTAGTTGTCGTGGGTGTGATCGTAGTAGGTGTCGTGCGTGTAGTTGTCGTGGGTGTGGTCGTCGTAGGTGTCGTGGGTGTGGTCGTAGTAGGCGTCGTGGCTGTGGTCGTAGTAGGCGTCGTGGGTGTGGTGATTGTAGGCTTTATCGTAGAAGTCGTCTCCGTTAAGAACTTGCCCCTAGCTATTGAGGCGATTGTGTACCCCTGCCGAATTAGGTAAGTAAATCAGTACCATATCATTTTATCTATTCTTGCGTTATCTACAAATCATCTACAAATATCCATCCCGCCCATGCTTCAGGTAAGGGAACTCTCACACAATTCGTCATCAAATTTCCAAACCTACCTTGAACTGGCTCGTAATATGGCGCAATAACATGGGCGATACTCGTACAACTAACTCGGTCTTTATCAATTGTTGCATTGCTGCTGACAATTGCTTCCACGCCTCATCTTTGGCTGGCTCATCCGGTGTGAACCAGTTCGCCAGGGTCGTCGTCTGGGGATTGTGCACTCCCAGTAGGTCGAGTTCGAATGGAATTCCAAAAACCCTTTGTCGTCTACTCGATACCTTAACCAGAGATGTGCCGATAGCCCAACGCTTCCGTAAAATCCGCCTTCCATAAAGAGCCTTTCCTCCCCAAGGGTCCCGTTCAGGGAATATTCCCCGCTAACTGGGAACAGAATTAACAGTAATACTTATTCTGCTAACTTTAAAAAAACTCGGGTACAATACAATTTTACATTTTACTAGTCTTTCTCATATTTTTGACCGAATTTTCTCTGCACTTATAAAATTACTTACACTCATACATACTTACTTGGTACAGCTTTCCAGGACCCGTCTGGCAATATTGGCTTAAATTCTGTATTGATGTATCCATCATAATTGCTGGTAGCAAGAGAACCAGTGGCGCTTGTTTTAGATTTTTCAAAAATATTTTCTATCTTGACATTCCTGCACAAAATTAAGTAGTTATGAATCGAACAAATACGATATTTGGGAGTATAGACTCTCAACTGGTCAACCGGATATTCGGCTCTACCGGGTTTTTAAGGCTGTATACATAAATCCCATTTATATGTAGTCGGCATTACAAAGGAAATTTCGCGCGGCGGCACAATAACTTTTTTGTGAGTCTACACTCTTAGAAACTGGGTATTAAGAAATGAGTGGTATTGATATTCGACTCTACCGCGTTCGTATTAAACCGTTGTACTGTCCTGGTTTATATTCGGTAATGAAATAATACCACGTGGTAATCATTTTATTTCTAGGTGGTATTAAATGTTTTACCATAAGGTATTAATTTTTTAAATTTATTACAAATCATTGCCACGAAAAGTCAAGGAAAAGTCGCACATCAATACCGCGTTTACTGATTTTGTTAAGAGTGTAATAGTGCTGCCATGTCACATGCCAGGTCCAAGTGGTTATTTCTAGTAATTTGTTACCCAATCGGTAATTAATTATAACCCTGACGTACTCCATTCCAACTGAGGAAACTAAAATCACCACCATTTGCCTCCCCGATATATTCACTCTTTTTTCAAAAACCTTAAAGTGACCCCTTGAATGGAAACCAGCCAATTAGTCTCGCTGCTTGTCCACGTGACGGGTCCCTTAATCTCAAACACCTCACCAACCCGCACCACATCGGGAGGTAATGGTTTCACACGGAGGTGTAGGAATAGAAGGAAACAGTCCTCTGAAAAACCCGGATTATTTCAGTTAACAAAATTTCAAATTTACAAATGTAACCAAGTTGAATAAATGTTACTCAATATTGGGTCAAATTTATGCTCTAGAAGGACGCATATTTATTACCTGGCTGGTTGCACTTTGGTGTGGGAACCACTGACCATTCTGCCTGACACAAGGCGAGCAGGGCAGAGAGCACAACGAGCAGCGTTATGCCCATGATTGTTAACAGATCAATTATTGGCAATCTGACTTTCGCTATTATACTTGTGCGTATACGGGTTACCCCAACGCTGGACACAAAAGGTGACGAAATACTGACTCCTTAAAACGGCGTCGCTACGTTTAAAAGGAGCCTCTAAGAACTGTGCCCATGACATTATGTAACTAACGCGCATAGTTAATTATACTTGTCAAAATTAATTCTATTGATTCCATGATAACTAACGACGCCGGCGGAACGAGCCAAAGAAAAATTGTGTGCTTAATAGAAGACTTATTTTATTATATAATCACGCATGTACGAGTATGTACACTGCAAAATAAGACTGGTATGATCCGATCTGAAGGATGTCTTTATCCATCCTTTGCTATTACACAGATTCGATCCGGTAAATACGGATCGGACTCCGAGTATTGCAACTTTTCGGATTGGATCCATGCTATAATTATACAATGATCCCTCCGATAAGAATAGGATTACAGGCTCCACTGCAAGAAATTACGTGCTCATTTCTTACCCCGCGGTGTGTATGCGTGACTCCAACGCCGTTATTGTAAGCTCTACAACACACTGTGCCAATATTGACGCCAAGGGGGTAACAATTTATTCCCACGAGAATCACAACATCATGCGTTTATATATCAGCTGTAGAGTGTATACACAGCGCTCGGCCCCCCAATATTTTTTTAGTGTGCCAGTCAGGTGCGTGACATTAAAAGTTTAAAAAACCCGTGCAATACACTAATATGGTATAAAATGTAATACCAAATACCAACTATTATTAAAAGTATTACCACAAGGTATTATTTTAATACAGAATCTATACCAGGGTGGTACAACGGTTTAATACCAAAGCGGTAGAGTCACATATCAATACCTCTCATTTTTTTAACACCCAGTTTCTACGACTTGGGGTTCCTGTGATCAAAATTACTATATCGAAGTATTATTAGAACTATTTCCTGCAATTTGGACATGTTGCTAATTATGCAGTTATGTTTGTACCCATGCAGTCACTACATAACCTAATCGGAATTAATTATGTCGTTTAATCTAACATTAATCTGCGTGACTTTACCGGATCATTAAGAGTGGAATGCTTATGCATAAGTTAAGTTAGGTTAGAGGGGCTCTAAATGAGAGCGACATAGCAAATTAAAAATTGTAATTTACTTTATGTAAGGTACATAATGTAACTAGTTAATTCAACACGTGCTCTTAAATAATGCCTGTGCAAGCTACATCAACAATTTCACACAACAAAGACCAAACTTATGTAAGTATGTTTCAATTACAGAATCCTTTATTAAACTGTCAGTAGATATCAGTTAGCATAAACTGGTTTTCAATTCATGACATGTTGGCCATAATATAATTAAGCAATTGCTAACATTTTTGTATCTGTGCGTCAACTAATCCTAAGACGCTTAATTATTAACTGTTGAGGTAGACCAGGAGATTTGAGTCAAGAAATCCACACTCAAAATAAAATTTTAGCAAAATCGCTACTAGCCGGTGTCACTGAATAGTAGGAGTGTTGTCACCTGGTGGTAAGAGGCTGATACAAAAACCGGTAGTAGTCTGCTACCAAACCAGTGAGGTCATATATAGATACCGGCTGGTAGCGATTTTGCTAAAATTTTATTTTG